ACATGGAGGTAGAGAGTAGAAAGACAGACAACAGGGACTGGAAAGAGTGAGTAGGGGCAGGGGTAAAATGAAGAGAAGTGGATTAAAATATACAAACATAGAATAAGATAGAAGAAATAAATTCAATGTTTAATAGCAGAATAGGGCATCTGTACTTAACAAAGATGTATTGTACTTGGGTGGTAGACACCCTAAACACCCTGACTTGATCATTATGCCTTACATACATGTAACAAAACTTTTCATGTACCCCTAAGAAATTAACAATGAACGAACAAAACAAAACAACCCAGAGGTTCTAACTAGTTTTATAATTCCAAGATATTTCCACTCACATTGTGAGGACTTTCTTGATCACCCTGCCTTCTCATAGTCTAGTTCTTTACCTTTCAAATTTCTAGAACAATGGTCATCTGTGTGCCTTTACTGGCATAGGACACAGTAAAGTGGTAGGGTTCATTATGTTTTCTGTATAAATGCACCAGTTTCCAATCTTGATTCTAAGCTTGGTCAAGCCCTAGATGCTTCTCCTGTGATGAAACATGACTCAGTCCCAACATAAACACCTGTAAACACCTTGCCACCTCACAGTCCCTTGTCAAGTGAGTACTTCATTCTTAGTAAGCCTTTTAGGATTTAAACCAGTCAATACGTGAAGTTTCCATGTTTCTTGGTTTCTGCAGTGGTGATAATGTTTGGTTAGCAATATCCCAGTGTACTTTATTGCTCTACAAGAAATTCCCTCAGGCCTGTAGAAGAACATCCTTATGCTGTATGTCAGACAAGAGTTATTTTAGTTACCTGAACTGAGATACCACTGTCTGCTGAGTAAACATTCTGTTCAGGGGCTAATGTGTTCTCTTTGAACCGTTGGTCCAGGAGTTTGGAAGATGGATAACTAGACTATCAGAAGGTAGGGTGATCGAGAAAGTCTTTGTGATGTGGGTGGCAATATTTTGAAATCATAGAATTAAATTGAACCTTTGGATTTGGGGAGGGTTTTGGGAGTTTTTTATTTGTGCAAATGTATGGGGTACAGGAAATTTTTGTTACATTTATATACTGGGTGAGAGTCTCTCCAGTTTATGTTTTATGTTGTATGTGAAGCTACTGCAACAAGCAGAAAGAAGGAAATAATGAATTTGAGTAGAAAATAATAACAAAGAAAACGAATGTACAAATAGCACATTTACAAATAAACAAGTATACTATGAAGAGACTTGAGAATACCAAATGTCAGTTATTGGAAAAGGAAAATAAAATTGACAAACCTCAGGTATGACAGAACAAAAGTAATGGTCTAAAAAATAGATTGAACCTTCAGTCTTTGCAAAAATGGAAGATCAGGAACAAGATCTCAGTATCAACCTGAAGCAAACAAAACAGAAAAAAATATGTGAAATAATGGTTTTCAATACATTGGACATCAGCAATGAAACACAATGATCTATGACAGAAAAGGAAATAAATCAGGTTAGGCAGGATTGTTTCACAGTTCTGCTTTCCAAGAGATTCCAGGCCATGTCTGGGGTTGGAGATCATAGTAGGGTCACCAAGTTGAGAGGTCAAAGCCAAAAATATGAATAGATAAAAGTGGCTGGAGTTTACTGGGAAGCATACTAGAGAGGGCAGTTGCACACAGAGAGAACTCAAGAGAGCTGTAGAGATTTCCCTTTATTTATTCAACAGAGCAGTAATCAGAGCATGTTTGTGAAGAAATTACTCAAAGTTGGGGAAATAACTTCCCTAAAGACTTGGAAGGAGCAGTGTCTGGAACTCACATAAGGCAGATAATGGTGCCTGTACTCATCATCAAACTAAAAAAATGTAATTCACCTAGTATTGGGTAGAATATTTAGAAGGGATTTATCTCAGTAGTTTGAATAATTAGCACTAGACTGAACACTGTTCTGGTCCTTTTTAACAAATCTTAAAATCCAGACCTAAAAGGATCAAACTGTCTCCAGATAACATAATTGTATCCCAGAAAAAAAGCTCAAGATATTCAAAAGAAAGCAGAAAGTATCCAGAGCTCAACAAGATAAAATCCACAATGTCTAGCATCCAATAAAAATTATCAGGCATTTAAAGAAGCAGGAAAATATGAACCATCGTGAGAAGGAAAAAAAAATCAAACAATCAAAAGATTAAACACTGCAAAAGGAAAGGTTGGTGAGTTAAAGACATCACAAGATAAACTATCTGAAGTAAAACACAGAAAAAAAAATGACTCAAAACAAGAGAAAATAACAAAAGCAACAGAGCATCATTGATGTGTGGGACATCAAATGACCTAATATATCTGTAATTGAAGTTTTCAAAGGGGAAAGATGAGACAATAACTTTTTAAAGAAATAATGGCTAAAACTTTTTCAGGTAGATAAAAAACTATAAATTCACAGATTGAAGAATCTCGATGAACTTCAAGCAGAAGGAACATGAAGAAAACCACACCAAAGTATAATGTAGTAAAATTACTCAAAGTCTGTAAAAACAGAAAAACTTAAAGATTTTTCTTCCTCTGGAAATAATGCCAGCAAGAAGATAATGGAATAACATTCTTAAAATACTGGAAGGAAAAAAAAGTCAACATAGAATTTCATACCTAACAAAAAATATTTTCAAAAATAAAAGAAGTTTTTTAAATATACAAAAGCTGAAAAAATTCATCACCAGCACCTGCAGGCAGAAAGAAAATGATATCAGATGGAAATATGGATCTACACAAAGAAATGAACAACACTAGAAATTATAACTATGTGGTTAGTATATATTTTTATTATTTATTATTAAGTTTAAATAAAATATTGTTTAAACAAAAATATTACAAAATCATGTCTAGTTTATAATATGTAGAAGCAAAATGGATGACAAGAATAGCACAATTACTGGAGGAAAATGAAAGTATACTACAATAAAGTTTTTATACTATGTGTAAAATAATACAATATGACTAGAACATAGACTGTGATAAGTTGAAGATGTTTACTATAAACCCTAAAGCAACCACTAAATTAGCAAAATAAAGTTATAGCTAATAAGCAAACAAAGAAGATGAAATAGAATTTTAAAACAGTCAATACAAAAGAAGGTAAAAAAAGTTTTTTTTGAAATGAAGAACAAGTGGGACAATTATTCAATACCAAAGTGGTAGATTTGAACTTAATACATATTAATAATCACAGTAAATATAAATGATCTAAATACATTAATTAAAAAGCAAAGGTCATCAGATTGGATAAAAAAGATCCAAATAAATGCTGCGTACAAGATATAGTAACATAATATAATATAAATCATATAGGTAATGTCAATATAAAGATACACTGGTTAAAAGAAGAAGGATGGAAAAAGATATAGCAAGCTAACACTAACTGAAAGTGGAAAGAGATAATTTCAGCTAGAAATTTCTAACTGAAAGTAAAAGTAGACAAATCCATGATTATAACTGGAAATATTAACACCTTTCTCTAATTGATAGAGTGAGTAGAAAGAAAATCAGTAATAATATAAAAGACTTGAACAACACTGTCAACTAACTTGACCTAATTGACAGTTACAGAACATTCCACTAAACAACAGCAGAAACCACATTATTTTTAAGTGTGCCAGGAATGATTACCAAGATAGACCATACTCTGTGCCTTATAACAAGTCTCAATATACATAAAAGAATGCAAGTTATACAAAGTATTATCTCTGACCACAATGGAATTAAATTTAAAACAGGTAACAGAAAAATATCTGGGGGAAAAAAAGGATAGAAAGGGGGAACATAACTTCACATTCTGCTGAGATTTAAATAATAAGGGGTTATTAATACAACTTTAATCTGACTTGAAGATGTAAATGAAAAGTAGAAGTTTCTGGAAAAAAAAGCTGTATTACAAAAATAAAATAATGATTTAAAAAAATCAGTATTTTATCTTCCTCCAAAAGGTCTGGAATTAAGTACCTTTATAGTGAATTCTGCCAAGTATTTAAGGAACAATTAATTTCAATAATACATAAATTATTCCAGCTGGTGAAAAGAGGAAACTGTCTTCAACTCACTTTATAAGTATTATGTAATCCTTGTACCAACCAGGCAAGGACAGTACAGGAAAGCAAAGGCATCAGCCAATCATACTAAATTCATTAGTGTTTATAAAAGATATCATGACCAAGTTAACTCAGAAATGTAAGGTTGGCTTACCACTCAAAAAAATCCAAGTAAAGGAAAGACTACAGTAACAAAAAGCAGATCCACGGTTTCCTGGGGCTGGAGAGAAGGTGAGTATTAACTGCAAAGGGCCCTGAGAAACTTTTTGTGGTGATAGAAAAGTTCTAAACCTGTTTATTGTGTTATTTGCATGCATTTACCAAAACTTACTGGACTGTATACTCTAATAGGGCAAATTTTATTATATATAAATTATGCCTCAATAAACCTGATTTTTAAATATCAAAATAATAAATCTATATAATAAATCTTAATAATCATGTGATCATCTCAGTAGAAATGTAATGGAGAAAATTTGATAAAATTTAATATTGATTTATAATAAAATCTCAATAAACTAGAAATAAAGGCAAATTTCTTAACCTCATAAAGATTATCTACAGAAAACTTACAACAAACATACCCAATTATGAAAGGCTGATGCAAGAGCAAAGACCAAAGGCCAGAGTAGTGCAAATACTGGAAATCATAAAGAGTGCAGCAAGGCATAGAAAAAAATTACACCTGTAAAGATTGTGGAAAAGAAATAAAATTATCTTTATGATGAGTTATAATACAATTGCATAGAAAATCCAATAGAATAGGCCGGGCATGGTGGCTCACGCCTGTAATGCCAGCACTTCAGGAGGCCAGGGCAGTCGGATCACCTGAGGTCAGGAGTTTGAGAGCAGCCTGGCCAACATGGTGAAACCCTGTCTGTACTAAAAATGCCAAAAATTAGCTGGGCATGGTGGTGGGCACCCGTAATCCCAGCTACTCAGGAGGCTGAGACAGGAGAATTGCTTGAACCAGGGAGCCGGAGGTTGCAGTGAGCTGAGATCATGCCACTGCACTCCAGCCTGGGCAACAAGAGCGAAACTCTGTCTCCAGAAAAAAAAAAGAAAATCAAATTGTATAAATACATAAACTCTTAGAAATTCTAAGAGATTTTAACAGGTTTACTGAATACAAATCTACATTTAAAAAATCCATTAAAGTTTTCTATGTGAAATAAAAATGTATATATATTTAAAAATATCATTTATAACAGCATCAAAAATATTAAATACCTAGACATGAATCTAAACAAAGGATACACAAGACCTGTAAAAAGACAATATAAAATCTTATTGGAAGAAGCCATAAATTGGTGAAAAAATAGATCATATTCATAGATTGGAAGTTATAATACAAGAAAAAACTGCAAACCTGCCCAAACTCATTTAAGGATAAAAAGTTTTGCCTTTTATTTTTTCATACATGACAAGTTAATTGAAAAATATAGGTAGAAGCACAAATGAACAAGAATATCCAAAACACCTCCAGATTTAAAAACAAAAAAAACAGGGTAGGAAGTGGGTATTTGCCTAATCAGATACCAAGAATTACTACAAAATTATATAATTAAGAGTATTATTTATATACTCTTATGTATCTAATGATACTATCATTAGAGAAAAAAATGCATATCAATCAAATGCATATAATTTTCATATCATAAATCAAATGAAAAAAATTGATTTATGACAGAGCTAGCATTATCGTTCCATGAAAGAGAGGCTTTCAATGAAAGGCTTTTCAACAAATCATGTTAAAACAATTGGTTCAATTTTTATGGAGAAAAGTTAAGTCAGACTGTCCTTCAGAATACGCACAAAACTCAATTCCAGGTATATTACAACCTAATTTTGAAAGGCAAAATTTTGATAATTTTAGAAGGCAATATAAGGAGAATATCATCATAACTTTGGGATAGAAAATGATTACTTAAAATGCAAATTTCATAGACATACAGAAGAAATTGATATATTAGATTACATATATATATATTATACTTTAAGTTCTGGGGTACATGTACAGAACGTGCTACATAGGTATACACGTGCCATGGTGGTTTGCTGCACCCATCAACCATGATCTACATTAGGTATCTCTTCTAATGCTATCCCTCCCCTAGCCCACCACCCCCCGACAGACCCCAGTGTGTGATGTTCCCCTCTCTGTGTCCATTTGTTTTCTTTGTTCAACTCCCATTCATGAGTGAGAACATGCGGTGTTTGGTTTTCTGTTCTTGTGGTAGTTTGCTGAGAATGATGTTTTCCAGCTTCACCCATGTCCCTGCAAAGGACATGAACTCATCCTTTTTTATGGCTGCTTAATATTCCATGGTGTATATGTGCTACATTTTCTTTATCCAGTCTATCATTGATGGACATTTGGGTTGGTTCTAAGTTTTTGCTATTGTGAACAATGCCACAATAAACATACGTGTGCATGTGTCTTTATAGTAGAATGATTTTTAATCCTTTGGGTATGTACTCAGTAATGGGATTGCTAGGTCAAATGATATTTCTAGTTCTAGATCCTTGAGGAATCACCACACTGTCTTCCACAATGGTTGACCTAATTTACACTCCCACCAACAGAGTAAAAGTGTTCCTATTTCTCCCCATCCTCTCCAGCATCTGTTGTTTCCTGACTTTTTAATGATTGCCATTCTAACTGGTGTGAGATGATATCTCATTGTGGTTTGATTTGCATTTCTCTAATGACCAGTGATGATGAGCTTTTTTTTTCATATGTCTGTTAGCTGCATACATTTCTTCTTTTGAGAAGTGTCTGTTCATATCCTTCGCCCAATTTTTGATGGGGTTGTTTGTATTTTTCTTGTAAATTTGTTTAAGTTATTTGTAGATTCTGGATATTAGCCCTTTGTCAGGTGGATAGATTGCAAAAATTTTCTCCCATTCTGTAGGTTGCCTGTTCACTCTGATGATAGTTTCTTTGGCTGTACAGAAGCTCTTTAGTTTATAGATTACATATCTTTTTAAAAGTCTGTCAATCAAAACATGACCACAAGAAAATGGCAACAGAAGTCAAAACTGGAAAAGGACATGCATCACACAAATTATTGACAGCACTCTTATATCCAGAATGTAAAACAAATTTACATAAATTAGTAACAGGCAAAAACAGAGAAATGGGGAAAGATATAAGGAGCTATTTCACGGAAAAAGAAACATGAGTGGCTCATACACAGAAAGTGGCAGATTATATTCCTAAGGGAAACAAACACTAAAATCTAATGAGATATAATTTCTCACATCCCAGATTGGCAAACATTTAGAAAGTCAGACAGCAAGTGTTGGTGAGGTTATAGAGTTAGAGAAACCCTTATACAATGCAGGTGAGAATATACTTTGGTTCAACCACTTGGAAAATAGTTCAGATAGGGCATTCACATATATAAATATGCATATCCTCTTTCACTCAGCAATTCCAGTAAGTATACTAGTGAATATTGTGTACATGTTCACCAGAGGTCATACTAAGAATGTTTCCACAGCTTTATTCAAAATAGCAGAAAAGTAGAAACAGCAAAAATAACCATCAAACAACAGACTGAATGAACAGAGATAGTCTCATGTAACAGACTATCAAACAGCAATAAAAGCCAATGAACTTCAGCCATATACACCAAATGGATGAATCTCAAAAACATAAAGAACAAATTGCCCATAATTTTATTTATATTAGAATCAAATATGTGAAATGAAACAATTAATTTTCTTAAAAGGAAAGATTGGTACAGAATATAGGGGAGTGGCTGCCCCTGGCGATGGAAGAGGGAATGGGATGGAGAAGAGGTATCTAGGGCAGAAGTCTGCAAATGCTTTCTGTAAAGGGCCAGGCAGTATCTGTTTTTGGCTTTGTGGGCCATGCGGTCTCTGTTGGAACTACTCAATTTTACTGTTGTAACAAAAAAGCAAGATAGATAATATGTAAATAAATGGCCATGGTTGAGTCACAATAAAGTTTTATTACAAAAACAGGCCATGAGCTGGATGTGGCCTGAGGCCCATAAATCTGCCAACCCTTGATCCAACATATTAGTAATGAATTTATGGGTGTTCAATAATTATTATTTAAAGAGTATATACACACATTACACACATTCATGTGCATTCACTTTTTGGTTTTTTTTTTTTTTTTTTGTGACAGAGTCTCGCTCTATCGCCCAGGCTGGAGTGCAGTGGTGCCATCTTGGCTCACTGCAAGCTCCGCCTCCCGGGTTCACGCCATTCTCCTGCCTCAGCCTCCCGAGTAGCTGGGACTACAGGCGCCCGCCACCACGCCCAGCTATTTTTTTTTCTTTTTTTTTTTTTATATTTTTTAGTAGAGACGGGGCTTCACCGTGTTAGCCAGGATGGTCTCGATCTCCTGAACTCGTGATCCACCTGTCTCGGCCTCCCAAAGTGCTGGGATTACAGGCTTGAGCCACCGCGCCCGGCCATCCTAAATCTTAATAGCCATTCTTCCATTGAGTTTTTTAGTTCCACACTCTTTGCTTCACCTCTGTAGATGGGACCTGTCTTCCTTCTGAGAAGGGATTGTCACCAGGTTGTCATCCCCACACCTGGGATACCTTTGCATAGGATCTGAAGCGGGATTATTTGGGCTCAATTTGTAGTTCTACCACATAGCAATGTGTTGCCTTGAACAAATTACTTAAATTCTTGGGGGTCTCAGTTTCTTCATCTATAAAATAAGTATAATAGTAGTATTTGTCTCAGGATTATAATGAGGGTTAAATAAGTTAATACTTGTGTAGTGCTTACAACAAGTGTCTGATACACAGTAAGCTATATGTAGATTTTAGTTTTTATCACTATTATCAACAAATTGATTAACTTTATTAATATATGATTTTAATATTATGTCTCATCACTCTAGAGATAGTCTCCCTTAGAAATGGAGAACTGTATGACAGGTTTTTTTCTTGTGTACTACTGCATATCTGGATTCTTAAAAATGCAAAGATATAGAATAATTGATTTGAGCTTTGTTTTCATGAGTTTTACTTCTCTCTCTGCTCCCTTCATTTCTAATTTTTTAATTATTGTTCAGCACAAGTATGATAAAAATTATCCACATCTGTTATTTATCTTTCCATCCTGGGGCAAGGCAAATGTGTATAGTTCCCCTCAGGATAACACGAACCATATGGAGCCTATGGAATGATATGTATTATCAGTTTATAAATTCAGACTTTGCCAAAGACGGTCCATAGCAGCCCAGAGTTCTTGGGTGCAAGAGTTTGCACTGGGATGTTTATATTCAGCAAACATATTGGTGTAAAACATGCTTGCAGCTGGTGCCTCCTCAGAGAGAGGGAGCTTGACGGTGCTTTGCTGCATATTAGGATCGCCTCAGACGCTTTAAAAAATATCAGTACTCAGGCCATACTCCATACCAATTAAAATAGAATCTGTTGGGTAGAATCTGTGGCATCAGTATTTTTGGTTTTCCAAACTCTCCAGGTGATTCTATTGTGCAGACAAGCTTGAGAACCACCAAGAGCTTTAGAAAAGAAGATTTTGCATCTTTTTGGCCTCTATAGGAAAATGCCTAGGAATGCAAACACACCCTCATTTGGAACCATTTTTTTGTCATCCCAATTATACGATGCGCATGTCTGGGTAGAAATTTCATCCTGTTCAAATCCGAATTAGCATCCCTGAAGTACTATACCTCAGGAATATCCTTCTTAAAAACAGCAAGCACTGATTCGACTAGACTAAAGATGGTTTAATCTAGCCCTATTGAGAGGGAGAAAGAAAAGAGAGAGTAAAGAAATGCAATCCATCCATCCATCCAATTTTCAAGTCAATTGCTATTCATTCAACAAATTACATCTGTATCTGTTACCCGTAATCACATGCAGTTGGTCCTCAAACAGAGACCAGAAGGTGACAACCAAGGTAAGCTCCATACGTTAGCTGGCTCCAATTCAGTATCCTGGAAAGAGTCATGCAGAATTGCAGGTCACTTTTCAGAGGATGGTCCACTGGATGCCACTCTTATGACAATTTGCTTTGCTTTCCTATGAGCATATTCACCCTCATGAAAAGCTCTGGGTCCTGCAATCCCTTATGATGGTCTCAGTGCCTAATCCTTTCCCAAGTTTTCCTCTTGTTGCAGAGAAACAATGAGGCATTTAAGTTACTAGCAAGAGCTGTGTTGCCATCAAGAATTGGATTCCTCATCTTGTTTTCTTAAATACTAAATAGAAGTAATATTTCAGCCGGGTGTGGTGGCTTATGCCTGTAATCCCAGCACTTTGGGATGCCGAGGCAGGCGCATCACCTGAGGTCAGGAGTTCGAGACCAGCCTGGCCAACATAGTGAAACTCTGTCTCTACCAAAAATACAAAAATTAGCTGAGCATGGTGGCAGGCGCCTGTAATCCCCGCTACTGGGGAGGCTGAGGCAGGAGTATCGCTTGAACCCGGAGGCGGAGCTTGCAGTGAGCTGAGATCGTGTCACTGCACTCTAGCCTGGGTGACAAAAGCAAAACTCCATCTCAAAAAAAAAAAAAAAAAAGAAAAAATATTTCAAACAATAATTTTCCTTAGTATGTTAAGTTGCTTTGCTGTATAGAACCTGCTCCTGATTTCTTTAGGTAAACGATTTTAGTGATTACAGATTATCTGTAAAATGAGGAATTATTTAATAACATAATCTCCAAGGCTGTTTCTAGTCCATAAATCTAAAATGATCTGAATGTGAGCATTTAGAATTTGAACATTTGAGCATTTAGAGGTGGTAGTGTAGTTGAAAGACAGACAAAAGTTCAAGTACCAATTTCACTACATATTTTGGACAAGTTACTTATTTTTTCTGGGCCTCAATTCCTACATCTCTAAAAACGGAGCCAATTATGGTATTTGCCTCCTACGTCTGGAGAGTCAGTAGCAAAGCAGGGTTCTAGAGTCAGGCTGCATGGCTTGAACCACAGTCCAAGCAGACTCGGCTATGTCACTTTGAACAAGGTATGTAACACCCTTCTACTTCATTTCCTTCACCTGTAAAATTGGAATATGACAAGGAATATTTCATAAGGTAATCATAAAATTATGTAAATTAATGGATATTAAATTTAGCACAAAACCTGTGTTAAATAACCAACATTTAAAAATAACTATCGCTATCATCACCATGTCATCAGTGTAAAACAAGATTGCACAGATAAAGTACAGATGCTAGAGACGTGCACTCTGTCATCCTCCTTGTCTTCCTCTCCTCTTATTTCCATAAATTCTCCAGCTGCAACATCTTCCTAACATCTGAGATTAAACCTGTGGGATCCCTGAGGATATGGAAAATTGGCTCACTTTTCACTCTCTAATGCTATTCCCTGTACTCAATAAACACTCGGAATGAATAAATGAATGAATAAAAATGTTTGCGAATTAAGTGAGAGATGTGATAAACTGGGAAGTGATGATGAAGTGATTATACAGAGGGAGGAGGGGAAAAATTAATGGATAATAACAAAACTTCTTAAGGAGCATGTGAGAAATAAATTAAACTTCCCCATCTATGAATATGCATAATGGAGTCAAAGGTTATATGTAGCATTAAGCCCATCCTCAAACTTCACCAGCAGTGTGGCCATCAGGGGACTTTCTGTGGGAGACCAAAGCTGCCTTCCATGATGCCAACACGGAAGCTTAAATGTTCACCTTATATATTTGTGACTAAATAATACACATCTAGATAGAGGAAAACTAAGAAAGTCACTATGGGTTCTAAGTGACAAGTGTGGAAAGCACCCATCTATCGTTCACTTTCAGATCCCCTTTGAACTGCCACACCAAAACAAAAACAAACAAGAAATACCTGTGCAAGGGGCGATTTAAGAATGTCATATGTATATTAAAAATCTTGAGGAATTTCTGTGAGACGTCTGAACACGGGGCAGATTGAGGAAGAACTCTGCCAATCACAATTCACTGCATGAGAAGGTGCCATTTTCTCGGCAGAATCTCACCAATTTCTAAGCGCCAGAGCTGAGGTCAGTCCATAACACGGCATTTGTAGGAAAAGGTTGATCCTAGCAGGCACTGAAGGTCACTTGGAGTGAGGATCCCATGAACACACTCACTCCCACTTATCCTGATGTTTCAAAGTAGGATCAGACAATAACCAGGGAATATGAAGAGGCAGTTAAGCCAAGGGGAGGTGGGAGTCTCAGAACCAGCTGAGAAACCAGTGACAGACAGGAAGAAGGAACTCTTTGGAATCCAGGTGACACTGCGTGTAGCTCTGACTCCTTCCTTATTTCTTTCTATTTTCTGAAATTTTGTGTGAGTGAAATAAAATTGCAGAAAATCTAATCTTTTCCCTTCTCTCTTTACCTACACCCCTCAATGCCTTAAAAATATTTCTTAGCTTTCCAAAAACGTAAGATACAAAATTTTCTTTCTGCAGGAATGAGCAAATGGACACAAAGTGCCAGGCACAGAAATTAAAAATGTCTTCTAAAGGTTTTAAGGAATCAGAAACAGTATCCTCTCAAGAAACAGAACTATTATATGAAATATGCCTGGAAATAAACTTAGGAAAGTCTGGAATTAATATTCTTGATAGGATTTAGAAAACTATTAAATAAGCAGTCAGACAAGAGGGAAATGCAACTTGAGATAAGAATATAATTGTGTAATTTGAAACCCTAGTAATGGCAGGGAGAGGCTGAGAACATACTGCAGCAAAAAGAAACAGTGATGCCCAAGTTAACTTTCAGAAAAAGAAAAATACATGTTATATTTGCTTTTACTTGCATGAAAAAAAACTGTGGAAGGTACACAAAATACAATAAAGATAATTAAACATTGTTGGTAGTAACAGTGGTAATGGGCGGATGGGAGTGGAATGGGAGAGAAACTTCCGCCCAAAAAAGAAGCTTGTGTAAAAGAACCTTATATGTCTGATCTCCGCTATAAGTTTACTCTTTTAAATTACTGATGTTAGTGGGATCATAGAATATTTGTTCTTCTGTGTCTGGCTTATTTTGTTTGACATAATGTCTCTCAGCTTCATCCACGTTGTGGCAAATGACAGGATTTCCTTCTTTTTTAGCATTAAATCACTCCCCCTACCTTTTTAAGGCTGAATAATATTCCACTGTATGTATGTATCACATTTTCTTTGTCCATTTAACTGTTTCATGGACATTTAAGTTGTTTCTGTGTCTTTGCTATTGTAAATAATGCCATAATGAATGTGAGTGTGTAGATAGCTCTTTGAGAATTTGGTTTCTGTTTTGCAGAGTATATACCAAGAAGTGGGATTGCTGGATCATCTGGTAATTCTTTTTTTAAGTTTTTGAGGAACTGCTATACTGTTTTCCTTAGTGGCTATGCCAATTTATATTTCCAGAAAAAGGTGTATAAGGGTTTCCTTTTCCCTGCATCCTACTCAACACTTATTTTCTATTGTTTTATAATAGCCATCCTAAAAGGTGTGAGGTATTACTTCATTGTAGTTTTAATTTGCATTTCTCTTATAATTAATGATATCGAGTACTTTTTCATATACCTGTTTATGATTATTTATGTTTTTTTAAGAAGTGTCTATTCAGGTCCTCTGCCCATTTTAAAAGTCAGATTGTTTTTCTGCCGTTGAGTTGTAGAACAAACTCGTATATTTCAGATATTAACTTTCACTCAGATGTATGATTTGCAAATATTTTCTCCTGTTCCATAGGTTGCCTCTTCGTTTTGTTGTTTCCTTTGCTGTGCAGCAGCTTTTTAGGCTGATGTCGTCCCATTTGTTTATTTTTGCTTTTGTTGCCTGTGCTTTTGGTGTCATATCCAGGAAATTATTACTAAGGTCAATATGAAGAATCTAGAAATTTGTATTTATTTAACTTTTGAACAAAGTTAATGTGTTACATATTCAAAAAATAAAAAATCATTAAAATTTCTATTTCAAAACATGTTATTTAAAAAGGTAATGCCAGAAGAAAAGATAATACTTTAAAGTGACTTCTAGAATAAATACAAGTAATATATGAGATGCTGCCATTTTTTTCAAAAGCTTATAGCTCTCGACTTGTGAAACTGTGCATATGTATTTTTATATCAAAAAGACAAAATTAAAAACCTTTTCCAAGAAATTAGAAGAAAAAAGATTACAGATTTAGTGAGAACAAGAGCTATAGATATTACCAGAAGGAGAAAACAAAACAGAGAGTGAGAAGGTAATCTTTTGATTAATAGATATAATAGAAAAAAAAAGTGTATTGAACTTTTTTCAAGCAGGGGTGTCCAATCTTTTGGCTTTCCTGGGCCATACTGGAAGAAGAATTGTCTTGGGCCATACATAAAATACACTAATACTGATGATGGCTGATGAAGTTTTTACAAAATGCCAAAAAATCATTTGTGATGGGCAACATTTGAAGCTGTCCTGTGGGCCGCAGGTTGGACAAACTTGAACTAAAGCACTTGTGTTGTTAAAGCAAATAGGCTCACTGGATATGAGGCAAAATAAATAAACAAAGACAGACATGGAGACAAATCCTTTGGAAACATTTATATTTTTGAGAGGATATGGCAAAATATTTCATACTGGCAAAAGATTCTCCTCTACAATACTAAATCATAGCTACTGCTTTTTCCTGTTTCCATCTTCAGCACCAGCAATATCTTTTTTTTTTTTTTCTTTTCTTTTCTTTTCTTTTTTTTTTTTTTTTTGAGACGGAGTCTTGCTCTGTCTCCCAGGCTGGAGTTTAGTGCCACGCTCTCAGCTCACTGCAACCTCCACCTCCTGGGTTCAAGCAATTCTCCTGCCTCAGCCTCCCAAGTTGCTGGGACTAAAGGCATGTGCCACTACGCCCGGCTAATTTTTTTGTATTTTTAGTAGAGACTGGGTTTCACCACGTTGGTCAGGCTGGTCTCGAACTCCTGACCTCAAATGATCTGCCCACCTCTGCCTCCCAAAGTGCTGGGATAA